TCCGAAACCGCATGATTTTTAAAATTTCTATAAACGCAAAAAGCTAACGGTAAATTCCATGACATTAAAAAATATAATTATTTTTCTTAACTCACACAATTAACCCTTAAAATCGGGCATTATGTTAATCCCACTTTATATTAATTTTTGCTTTATTTCAGACTCCATATATGCATCATCCTAAATATATGCAATTCTAGAAATAGTTTCGTATATGAATGAAAATAATTTTAATAATGTGATAGGTATACATAGACTTTATTTAAAAGCAGAATTTTCACTTGTTGAAGGGAAAATTGCTACAATACAAACCATTGGTTTGACCCAACTTTATTTAATAAGTTACGTATACGAGGAGATAACTCGCTTCAAAGTTAAACTTGTGCTGATATGAGCAATTACCGACTATATAACTAAATGTATAATTTTCTTTGACTTTTGTTATTGATAATTTTCGATAAAAGTTATATTGCATCCGTTTCCATTACATACAAACCTATGATTTGATATTATTTTGCTATAAAAATTCATTCCCGATCCTTTTCATAATTTTGTCTAATTTCAATCAATCTTATGTATTTTAAATGTAGTAAATTTTATTTCAATTTTATTTTTTTTCTTTATATTTATTTAAGAAACTATGTATTTTTCTTTCTGAAGGTATTTGACTATATGTAATATAATGGGCAATAGACTCTAAAATGTCTAACATATTTAAAAGAATCATTATATAAGATCAAAATCTGCATATGTACTCACATTGTCGAATTTTTGAATAGTTTTGGAAGATATCCAAAATATATAATATAGCACATAAATATAAAATTTGATAAATTTATAGAATGCAATTAAAGAATATCTAAAATTATTGGTAAATGATATTTTTTTTATAATTATTTTTGCAAAAATGCACTAAATATTTTTAATTCTTTAAAATTCTTAAATTATCTTTTTGGAGTAAAATTTCTTTACACATATTTCATATTATTTCAAATTTTTTTTAATTTATCACGGTACTTAAACACATCGTAATAGTAAAACATTAAAAATATATTTTGGTATTATTGCGTATATATAGTATATTGCTAAATTTGCATTTTAATTTATTTTACATGGCTATTACATGAAAGCAATTATTATGAATGCAATTGGAAAAGAAATTTATTTCTTATAATCGTAATTATTATTGCCATTTTTAAGATGTGTTTTTAATAGCCTCCCGATACAATTAAAACAAATTAACTATTATACATTTATACATATACTTTACTTAATATAAATATTTCATATAACTCATATACCACAATTTGATAAGTAAATATTAAAAATTTTATTTAATATTAGTTAATTTCAAAATGCGCAAATGGTTGACTCATTATAATTGATCTATTGAGTTATATCTGAGTAATAGGATGTGAGCATAATATAAAATCCATGCAAGATTTTTTGAAAGAAAACTTTCAATTATTTTTATCTCTGAGAAATATTACATTCAGCCTCTGTATTCTTTTACCAAGGTACATTCTTATTGTAAAGAATAAATTGTATTATATAATTTATTTTAGGATTTATATGACCATTATTAATTTCAATGACAATTGTAATGTAGCGTAATTAATTTAAACAATTGTAATTAATTCGTAATTTCTTGATTATGGTTTAAATATATTTTAGTTTTCAATTAAATTTAATTTTATAATTCAATTTGCATTACAATTTTCTTCATATTTAAGTTTTTTAATATTCTTCCATATTTATTTTTTTATTAAATAAATTTCAATTTTCGCGCACATATATAATACTCGTATGTACATGGAATTAATTCATATTAATATATTATATGTGCACGAATTTACAAAATATTTTGCTAAAAAAATCCGGTTGAATATTTAAATATTAAATTAAAAAAAAAATTTACATTAATTATACGGTTGAATCCTATTTTTAATTTATATTCAAATGTTAATGAATTGTAAAATTGTGCCATTTAATTTTGATATTGGTTATACTAAATAAATAAAATAATAATTTTTTTGAATTATTTGTAATTCTTTTAGTTTTTCCTTTTCTACAATAACTGTGTGAATTATGAAATTAAGATTCTTTTTTTCATATACATATAAAATAATTGTTTGGGTATTAACTTCCCAGTCATCCAATTTATTTTGATTTTTTGAATGTAAATCACCGGGGTGGTACATAAATAATATTTTATAAAAAGTGAAATTAATTTTAAAAATTGCTTGTTGAACATACGCATATCATATAATAACGTACGATACAACTGTATACAAACGTATACTGTTGATTTTGTACAATATAGCAAAGGAAATTAAATTTTTTTGCATTGCACTAATGTCTACTACGGTAAATATGTAATTTTGTGATATATAGAGCATAGAACTTTAAAAATCAATAAGAATTGAATATTAAAAATTAGAGTGAAATACTTCCGTTAATACTTTGTATAACAAGTAATTTTGCAATAAGTTAATGTAATAGACTTAAAGTAAAAGATTTAGAAGCTTATATTACAAAGGAAATGATATTATATTACATACTTACGTCACAGCAAAGAAGTGGATTGAAGGTTTGGTCTCTCTTTCAAAAATACTTTGAATTTATTTTTGTTTAATTAATATTATTACTATAAATGTTTAGTAAGATTATAACAATATTTAACGAAATTAGGTAACTGTCATGTAGGTAAAATTTTTTGAAATAATAAATGTTACATTAAGAAATTTAGTCATTTCCTTAATTATTTGCGGTTAATATTAAAATATTTTCATATTAATTTTCCAATTTTTGTTGTGTTTAAATAAAGCATTATGAAAATATGTATATCTTGTTATATAAAAATAAACCGTTTACAGCAATCAATCAAAAAAAAAATTCAAGGTGCAAAAATTTCTCTTGATTTTGTTTTTCTTTTTGTTTTTTAATTAGGAAATATACAAATTATTTGTTTATGTATGACTGTAAATTTTTTTCATTATATCTTTTTTTAATTTCCTTTTTAAATGTTTTTGGTAAAAATTTATTAATATGGGAATACATTATAAGAAAAAACAAAAAATGCTGCGATTGTTTGTTTACATGAATTCAGAAAAAGTTTACAGTTAAAATATTATATTTGTTTTGCGTTTTGTATAATTAAGTTAATGTAGTTGTTCTTGTTATTTTTCATAAAAAATAAACTAAAACATTTTTTTTTACATTAAATTTTATTAACTTTTGATTTGTTTTATTAAAAAACCAGAGTTGTTCAAAGTCAACTATACATTTAAAATGTCATTATAAATTTTATAGTTATGTTTAAGATCTAACAGCGTGTTATTTAGGGGAATAAAATCAGAACTAAGTTTTGATTTCTCCATTACTCACATTTAAGTATATTTTAAAATCGGGGTTGGGTACCAGGTAATATACCGATAATAATACTTTTTACATTTTACAACAATTCTTTAAAAAACTTTTTATAGATCATACTTGAATAAGACTAAAATGCAAAAACAGCACACTGATTTCGGAAGTGGCAAAGTTTTTATAAACAATAAAAGAACATTATATGTTGTCTTATTGCATATCGTTAGGATCAAGAATAAATCTAAAAAGTGTTAATCTTCGCCTTAAAAAAAATTCGGAAAATATTGCAATTTCAGAGAAATAAATTATCAAGAATCGAAATTTTCAGGGGGTACAATCTTTTTGTAACGGTGTATGTAACGCCAAAACAAGAAACTGCACAAAGTATATATAATATACATCCTTGCTCAGTATTAAATCCGATCTAAGTAATCGAATTCTTCGTCTGTTGTCAATGTACTCCTTTGGGAATATATTTGTAATTTGTTAGAGATGCATATATTTTTGAATCCAAATCGATATTAAAAATGGGCAAGATTAACAAACCGGAAGTGCTACCTCCCGTACAAATTTCCGATGGTGGTTTTAAAAACAAATTCATCAAATATTGTCATACGGCATATTGTTGAATAAACCTCTTTTATAAAGAGTCAATTTTTGTTCAGCAAAAATGTGACTAAATAAAATTTTAATTACTTATACTACCTCACAAATTACCGAATGTAAAATTTTTAAAGTTTTAAGTTAACTTAAAGTAGGCGGGGATTAAATTTTAATAAACCAAAATCAACTGTTTTACTTGTTAATATTAATAAACCAGAAATGTGTCTAATTATTTTCTGTGTGATATATCAAAAAACCGCTTCGAGATTTATTTAATTTTAATTTAGATGAAAATAGAAAATAGAAGCTTTTTACAATAAAATATAATAATAAAGAGATAGATTTTAAATTAATTTTTATGCATGAATTTAATTATGTTGAGTATAATTATCATATAGTATATAGTTAATATATAATAGAATTATATTTACCTAGGAAACTGAAATTTTTTTTTCTATCTGCCAGGTTATGTACATATTTTCATGTACATACATACATACTCGTATTGTACTTCTAAAGAATTTGATTTTTTTTTGTTTTAAGGAATTTAGAAATTTTTTTAATTTTTATTTTTTCTTTCTTGCTTTTATTTCTGTTCTTCCCTTTTTCTGTCCTTTATATATTTAAATATTTTTTCTTCAGTCTATGCATAATTTTCAAACCATTTTTCATAGGCTAGCTATAAGTGTAAAATTTAAAATTTAAAAAATAAAATTTAATTGTATATTTATATATATATAAACAAATTTATATATACATACATATGTGTACTATAAAAACGTACATATGTATATACAAATTGTTATTGTAGTATTGTATCTACGGTTCTTTTTTTTAATTAGAAATTCTTTTGTCTACTTAATCGACAGATTTTTAGCAAGAAAATTTTGTTGATATATTTGTATGTACATACAAACATATGTATAACTTGTGTTTCTATTATTTATATCTACATTTATTTATTATTTATTTATTTTATGTTTTTTTTTTTAACAAAACAAGATTTTTATTTTTTCTCTAAATTAAAGGAATATTTTGAAAATTTTCTGACATAGTTTTAGTTCATTTCTAATGAAAACAGCAGCATAATACCTCTAGAGACACAAGACGAACCGACTGCGCTATTGAGATAGAAAATAAATTTCTATTCGCGAAAACAAACAAACAAACAAAAAAAAAACACAAAATGAAAATTAAAGGAAAATACAAATTTTTCAACATACATAGTACGTATATATAATACAGTAAATATGAAAAAGTTTCCTAAAAATAAAGAAAAACTTTAAAATTTGAAATTATTGTAAAAATTATAGAGAAATAAAAATATAAAAATAAATATAAATATATATAATTTATGTGTTAATTATAGTGAATCTTTTTATAATGAACTAATTATTATTTTCAAGTAATTAATAATTTAAACATTTTCATATTATTTATGCATATAGGCTATAAAAATATGATTATAATTATATGTACAGTAATACCCCGTTATTTACGTTACTTTAAAATTAAGTATTTTTGTTTCAAATAATTTAGAATTTAATATATGAAAATGTGGGTCTCATTTAAGTAACTATTTATTATGTGAAGTTTAGTTAAATTAAACAAAATAAAACTCATTATTAATAAAGTATGCACATCATTAATTTATTAAATAAATAAAATACATAAAGTAAAAGTCACTGTTATTATAACAAAAAAAAAAAAATAAATACACTGCAGAACATTCTATTAATTTGTACAATAATTGCAAATAAATATACATATATTGTTTTAGAAAAAATTACTTTAAAAAAGATTATGAACTATTTTCGTTTAAAGCGGTTGCTATTAAATATTTAACCGTTCTAAGAAGGTGTCTTTTAGAGACCCCATACCTTATTAAAAATTACAATTAACGTGTATTTATTTTGAAAAGCAATCAGCATTCATAAATTCCCATACTACATAAATCTATTTAACTGAACAAATATTAACTATATTTACGATAAAATTAACCGGGTATTACTGTACATAAATTCCATTTAATATTGAATTTTCATCATATAATTTAAAAGAATATTAATTAATGGATTTATATTTATTATGTTAACAGATATGTTTAGACATTTAAGATAAATTTTCGTTCTATTAAAATAAAAAATATATATACATGAATGCATATACATATATATGTATTTATAAACATTAATATAAAATAAAAGTGCTACCACATTTATTTCTAATAATATATGTTTATATATATTGTATTTAAAAATAAATAATGCAAATATAATGCAATCGAATATTATCCACCAAAAACTATTAGACTGTAAATTATTGAAATTTTAAAAATATAAAATTTTATCCACCTGTATTTAGCAATAAAAAGTTCCTAAAAAAAAAAGAAAGCAAAATTAAAAAAAAAAATATGAGAATAAAGTAAAACGGAAAAAAATTTTTTTACATTGTACACAATAAATATTAAAATTAAATGAATAAAAGAAATATAGTTAAATTTAATTATCAAAAGTAGGTAATTAAATATAATAACAAAATATACATTTAAACGCACTTCATAATAATTTTAAAATAATTAATTAATTTATTAATTATAAACATACAATATTAAAATAATATTTACTCATTATATTCGTATTAAAGTGTTTTAAAAATAAATATTAATTTTTATAATTAATTCTTATAATAAAATTAAAAACTTTAAATAAAACAATTTAAAAAATAAAATTATCAAAATGGGTTTAAAAAGAAGAGAACCATCAACGGCATCTCTTGAAGCCAAACGAAAACCATTATTAGATCAATGGATGTTTGAAAGGCGAATACTATTGGGTACAACATTTTTTGTGTGTATAGCGCTAATTGTATGGATTGTTGCTATTGCAACAGATCATTGGATTATAATATCTGGGAAAAAAGGTAAAATGTGAAAATTTATTGAAATAAACATAAGTTAGACTATCTGGATTTTTTTTTAACTGATTGCAACTGATTATAATATTAATCTTAAAATATATCAATTGAAGCTAAAAGCGAATTTATTTTTGACATTTCAATAATTTCAAGTACTATTCTTTATTTTCAGTCTACAATTTTTTAACCCCTGTTTCTAAATAAAAATTTTATGAACTTTCAATTATCATGCACATAAATAGGGCGTTATATTATCAAAATTAATTAAATTAATTTTTTAAAAGTTGATAAATAAAATTTAAACGCAATTAGAATTTGTACTTTTTTCAATATATCAAATGTCGATTATTAATACAATTGAATGTAAAATAAGTGCTTACAACCATTACTCGTGTAAATACATATATACATATGTATTTGTGAAGTATTGTAAATAAATAGAAAAGAGAATTAGTATATTTTTCATTTTTTAAAGATTCTAAAAATTCAAGTCACTCATTTTAATACTTTATAGTAAGTAAATTAAAAAAAGAATTTATTTCAATTTTCGTAATCTACCACTTTAAATTTCATATTATCAAATATTCAACACATATGGTGACTTATGTGGTATACTCTATAAAAATTTTTCTAATTAAAAAAAACAAGCACTTTTAATGGTAGCGTATGTTAAAAAATAAAAATCTAAATTTTGATTGACTATGAACTTCATTAATGTTAATTGAAGAAAAATAAAAAACACAATTTTAAAAAACTATGCGTGTATCATGTATTCATGTTTAAAAAATTCTAAAAATTTGTTAATTATTTTGTGTACATATGTATATATGTACATATATTTGTAGGTTTGTATGTATTTTTTAATTTTGAATTTTTGATGAAATATAATTAATTTTCGTTAAATGTACATACTTTAAACTTATGGTGCTTTTATTTGAATCGAAATAACATCCAAATATTGATAAACAAAAATAAAATCGTTTTTTATAAAATATGTTGAATTGCGTGTTGGATGGATGATTTCAAGTGTTAAAAAAATATTTTATTAATTTCAAATATAAAAAAATGTTGATGTGGTCAGCATATTACTGATCGCAAGGTGATCGTCTGGTTTAGTGAAAGTTTTCAACAAGTTTAAGAAGATGTCTTTTCGACATTTCCTTTGTAGTTGAATGACGCTAATAAGCTTTTAGTTAACATATTAAAAAATATATAAATTTGTCACTTAATTAAGGTTCGTTTTATGCCGTCCAAATTACTTTAAAAGCTCTTCAGTTCCTGCCGGTAATAAACTGAACTCATATTTTAACTTTAAAAAAACGTCGGCAATTAGTTCCTTAGAGATATGATAAAAAAAGACACGTAAAATTGACTTCCGAGCTCTGATATTCCCAAAAAATTTATAAATTTATTGTTTTAACGGCCTGAATTTAAATATTAAAATTACAATTGCTGACACCCAATTTCTTTCACAATATTTTTGTAAACGTAATTGAAATCTGCGTTTGAAGTGTATTTCAACTTAAATAATTTTTAAACATTACAATTTACTTAGTATAAGTTTTTATAGCATTATACTCGTATACTTATATGAATTTATAATTTTTCTTATAGTTAGTAAAAAATAATTAAAGAAAATTATTCAGAACATGAATCTTTTTACTAGATTATATAGTACATATATAGAAATGTACTCAAGAATTCTCCTCAAATATTTGAAATCAATAATAATGATATGCAATACAAAATGGCAAACTGTAAAAATTTAAAAACATCTAAATAGTTCAATTAAATCATATCGTATCATATATTTCAAAATAAGATTTTTTTCCAAATATATTTATAAATGCAATATTCAAAAATGCATACCACTTCACTTTCTAATATTTTACTTTAAGTGATTTTTATTTCTTGAAATGAAATTCGTTTCAAGAAATAGTTCCATATACTTAGCAAACATAATTCAAAAACCCAGAGAAGATTTTTAAAACAATTTGAGAACACATCAGTTGCGATGGAAATTTCAATGAATTAAATATAATTCATTGACACTGACAGTTTAATAATTACGTGAGATTTTAGATTAATGAAAAGATATTCAAAAAGAATTTTTATTTAATTGGATTGTTAAATTTATTACAGTTACTATTTTGTTATTTTGTAATTCATAAAAGATACTGGTACTTTTTATTATAAATTGATTAATTTATGTATTTATGTATTCATAACTCTAATGGATATTCAAAAGTTTCTATTGATAGCAACCAAGCGGTGCAAAGATTTACATTATTATAGAACTCTCTCGTTAGATTTCATATTATATTTGTAATACGTAGGACAGTGACAAACCGATTTGCCAATGTGAATCAAAACACCTTCTTAATATCTGGCAAATATTTGACATTAAACGCTACTTATTTTAGATGTTAATGCGTATAGGTAAAATATTTATTAATTAGTTATAATGTATTCATTTAGTTACAAAATGCGATTAATTGGAATAACTATGGACTTTTATCTGATAAAATGGTATCGATCTTTTAATCAGTTTCAAGTAGATTTAAAAATATTTTTTGATTCTGTCGCAACTATATATATGCAGTTCTTGTTTCTTATATCAAAATATTCTTTTGTTATTTTTAGAGGATTATAAATAAAAATAACGATTAAACTAAAAAAAAATATAATAAAAATTATTATTTTTTTTTTGAGTCGTGGGAGGAAAAATGCATACGTGTGTTTAATTGTCTATAAAATTCAAAATTATATATACATATTTCAACGTACATACGTACATACTTATTAAATTTTCAATATGCTCCAATTATCTCACCTTTTTTTTTAGCTACACTATCATCTCATTCTTAATGATTAATATTTGGTTGAAATTAATTTCTTTTTTGCATTTTCATTTTTTATTCCAATACTTCTTTCAAATATTTTGACTAAAAGTAAAAATCATTTTCATAGAATTTATTATTTTTTTTCTCTTTTATTTTTTAAAATATCTACTATTTTTTTTAAAATAATATAATAAAAATTTTCTGAGTAATGTGTATTGTGTACAATTATTATAAAACACCTACGATATTACTATAAAGTAACATATAAATCACATCTAAAAAAAATTTCTTTTTTCTTTTATCTGAATACGCGAGCTATTCTAAAATTAAAAGTTGACAAACTTTTATTATAATATATTACTTATTATTTTTAATCATATATACTACAGCTACAATCATATATACAATATGCAAAAGGTTAAGATAATATTGATAAATTTCAAAATATTGTTTTGGATTTAATCATTAATTATCTTAGAAATTTTAAGAATAGAAATTTCCTAATGAACAAATCATAATACTTATAGAGATATGAATTATATTTATATACATACGAGTATGATACATATTTTGTAGGCTTAAATATGAATTGAAACAGTTTGGTAGAAATCAAATAAATTAATTTAGTATTAGCAAAATAGAAAAAAAGCGATAAAAAAATTTAAAAGCAATTTTTTCTGTAGCTCATTTTTTAATGAAAATTTCACCTATAGAATATGACAATATTTCATTTTGTTGAAAGGAAATTTAAACAATTGTGACATCTCTAAAGAGCACACGAGTTAGAAATGTGATGGTTTTGTTTGATTTTTTGGCAGCAAATATTTCTTTTTTGTATATTTTGAACATATACAGTTGAATCAATTTAATTAGGCGTGAGTAGAAAAAATGTCACAAAAATTTAAAATAAATTAATAAAATAATAAAAATTTTTAAAATCACCTGAACTTTATGGTACAAGTAAAAGTAGGTACTGTATATTGCAATGGGCTGAATCAATGTTGCATTACAATTAATATTTTTTGTAAATTTCCGAATAAGGGTAACTCTGCTATGACATTCCCTTTTATTATAATAGTTTACTTTACGTAGCTTCTTTTATCCTTTCATACCTTCATTTATACACATAGCTTCTTCATACCCTTCTCTTTCTAAATATGTATATGTAAACTTTTTCCAATTTAGATTTTTTTTAAATAAATTTTCAAACAGTCCTTCCTACCTTATTAGTAGAATCCCTCTAAATGCAAATGTAATTTAAAGTAGAAATTCTGAAAATAGATGTTATAGGAGGATTGCTGCATGTATATATGCACAACCATACGTACACATTGTGCATATTTAATTTTTTAGCTTGTAATTTAAAATATTGCAATTGTTATGTAAAAATAAATGGCATGTACGTATCTCATAAATTTTAAAAACCCACGTATAATGTTAATTTTTCCAATTTCATTATTATAATTTTCATCTTAATTTCATTATTTCAATTTTCATATCATCAATTTTCTTTCATTCATATTGATCTGTTTAGAGCCTCATTTAAATTTCTTAAAAACCCATTCAGCTGCAACTTTTCCTAATTAAATATAAACTCAAATATTTTAATGATTCACTATATTAGTTGCACTTAAAAAGTTTTGACTGTAAACTGTACGTTGCAAAAATATTTTAATAATAGAAGTTTCATTCTTTCTTTTTTTGTTCTTAAAAAATTTTGAAATAATAAAGCAAAAAAAAAAAATCACAATGAAAAATTGTTTTAGATTTATCAAAAAAGACCTTGGTTACTTCTTTTCTTTTTTTTTGTATTTAATTTTTCCTCAATTTCAAAAATATTACTAAAGATCATTAAAAATTATTTTGAAAGTAATAAATGTGAACATCATAAGCGCCATAAGACTTTATTTATTAATCATTAGTGACATCCATAAATAGTATTAAAGGTTTTCTTACCTTAAAAAAGATAAATTAAAAAAAAATCAAATTTAAAGTACGACTTTTTTAAATACTTTTAAATTTAACTGCCCTGGTTAATTTTTACAAATGAATTGTAAAACTATTCATTGATTTCTTTCTATATGCCCACAAAGTTTTTAAAGGTTATATTTATATTTAAGTGAATATGATTAGAAACGATTTTTTGAAAAAGTTCTGGTGTGTATTTTTAAGATTTCTTACGAGCATAAGAGAGGAAAATCTAAAATTTCTTAACTAAACCAGGTGCGTACAAGCTGTTAAAATTCTTAATACCATCATAGTATGTATATGGTATAGTAAATTGTATAACTACTAAAGATAGAAATTTATTGTGCATATACTTATAGGTATTTTTTAAATTTTGCCCTCATAACAATTTCGTCCTCACATTGTCATTGAAAAATTCAATATTATACTAAAAGCTTTATTAAAGATTACGAAGTATGTAGTACTTTTATTTTAAATTTTTTGGATTTTAATTTAAAATGATTCGTAATAGTTTTATTTTGGTATTAATATTTTGGTAAAATATGATAGGCAAGTTTGATAATAATTTTCGTTTGCTTATCAAAAGATTACATATTTAACTTGGATGAGAAATTTTTCAAAAGGTCTAAATATAGACAAAAATACATTCCAAATATATCATCTATGTAGTCTGAGGATTACCATTAATTAGTAAAGATTTGATTCTCTGTAGACTTGATTAATTGTATTGTATTAATCCTATGGGTTCTATGTTTTGAAAAACAATTTAGTTTTAATCATTTCAATAAATTTAGATAGGCACAAGGGACCTTCCGACTCTAGATTATTTTACTCACCTTAAGACGTATTGAAGTCTAATGATGCTTTTACTTTTTAAAATTTTTGCATGACTACACTCATAATAGGAATTTAAAAAAGAGATTCATAGAGCAATTAATAATAATAACAAAATTGTATTACCACTACTAAGATTTTAAAAATTTTTAATCAAATTCAGTTTAGTTTGTTTGTCTTATAATAACTTTTTATCCACTCTTAATTAGTATTTTTATTTGATATAAAATATTATAATCTTTCTGAAATTGTGTTCTAATAAATTATTAAGAGAACTTTTTGCTTTTTATTAAATTATATTATGCTATTTGATTTTCAAAAGCCTTATGATTTATTACTTTAGAATAAGTCAAAAGAATTGGACATTTTATTGGGTAATAAAGAAAAATTATGTATAGATAACATTTAGCTTAGTACTCGTATTTCTTCAAAATTATATGTTTATAAGTATAACTTATAGTTTATAACTTTTAATGACCGTTGAGCAAAAATAGAATCATTAATAATCTATTTAAATTTAAAAATTTAAAGACATTAAACTTTAATATAAATTTTCATTTTACATAATACTGTGAATGAATAGTGTGAATGTTTATATGTATATATGTACCTACATATGGATATATGTATTTATACGAAATTATAATTTTTAAAAATTTTCTAAACTTTAAGCTATACATATGTATGTACATATTTTAAGTTGTATTCTTTTATTTATGCAATATTTTTAAGCTAACAAACAAAATTGCATAGTAAATTTGTGTGGTATGATCCTCTTTTGTTAATCAATTTGCTAATACTTGATTAGAAGTTTGAATTAAGTTCCAATTTCGATTGAAAAAAAGTATTATATAACGCTTAAGAAGGTTTGGGGAAAGAAATTGTAAATTATTAAGTATAAAATACATATGTATGTATGTATGTAGGTACGCAAAATAGGCTTACCTTGAAGCTCTTATTTTAGCTTGTCTGTTGAATAGAATGCTCTATTCATACTAAATGTTAAAAGTACATATTATGTATATGTATGTACATATGTACATAAGTATCTTGCCTTAAACCAGAACAACCGGAACCGAATTGAAAGTGTTATAAAAACTTATTTTTCTCTTCCTGGCAAGCTCCTGACTGCGATAAAACAGGTGCTCCATAGTCTTTCTTTCTCTTTCATAGAGTTCCTTTCCGGATCGCATATGTACATATGTATGTAGCTTAAATATATATTAGGTTTTTTGAGAAACAATTAAAATTAATAATTTAATATGAACTTACCCTTTGCACAAACATTATGTAAATATATTTTGCCCCTTTACTTTAAATTTTAATTGTAATTAGCGAAAATGATTTAGACATGTAAATTGAATTTCATTAAAACCAATAAAGTGCTTTTTGTTCTTCTGTTATTTGCATTTTATTTAACTGGTTATATACTTATACGCAATTTCGAAAGCATAATTTAATTTAAATTCTTTTAAAAATAAATTTTTGTACGCGGTTTTTTGAAGTTTTTTTAAGCACACACATATTTAAGTCTCTTATTTAACATACATATATATTACGTTACGTATGTTCATATCTATATCGTTACCATATTGATTTTACAGAAAATCTGGAAAATTTCGACAAAAAAATTTGAATAATCTGGCAAAATAAAAAAAAACTGGCAAGAATTCTAATAAGAATATAAGCTTTTATATTTAATTTAAGCACATTTTTATTGTTATACAGTTTTTAAGCACATTTTTATTGTTATACAGTTTATGTAATTATCAAATACTATCTGTAGTAGAGTTGGTTGGTTGGTCAACCAACCAACCGTAGTAGAGTTAAATATAAAAAAAAATTAAATCAAAAAATTTTTTCAATAAAAAAAAATTAATTATTTTATTGGTTATAAAAAATCAAGTAAACAATTTTCCATTTAATTGTTAGCTCTCAGCACAAGATTGCTTTTAAAATGAAGCTTAACTTGTGTGTCCTTAATAAAATCAACCTTACTTACAAACAATACCAAAATCAGTATTCGGTTAGTTTCTATCTATTGGAACTCATAATAATACATTTACAAAACAAGAAATTTAAAGTGATTTTAAAAAACTTAAAAAAATCTGACAAGATGGGAACGATAATTTCGATTTTCCCACATACTCGTATAGCTCACATATTTTTCTTATGTATTCACATTAAAAGAAAGCAATTATGTACTCAAATCATTTTTCAAATTTAACGAAAAATGTCTTGTAGATTTAATTCAGCGATAGTTCATCCCTTGTTGAATATAAAAAAATTCATCCCTGCAAACAGAAATGTATGATTAGTAGGAAATGTCAAAATTATATTTCGTAGGAAATGTAAAAATCAAATTTTGACATTTAATATTGTTTTGGTTTAAACTTTCTGATACGATCTTTAGAAAATTAATATTTACAAACATTGTAATGTAAAATATAAAATTACTATTATTAATTTTATGCAATATGAAAAAATGTTAATCTTTATATACTTTAATTAAAAGGATAAATTTTTGTGAGGTTGAAAATAAATTTTGCAGTCAATTCAAAAAAAATATGAGGGAATTGATGTGTGTTTATTAATATTTACATAATAAGTATATGTTATTAAAAGTGCAAATCAAAAATAGTTTTTTATGATAATTTCTTTTTGTTGCTTTTAGGTATTTTTATTCCTGAAACACGAAGATTCTTCCTTCATTCACATCAAGGTTTATGGCGTATGTGCCGATCAACTTCAACACCGGTAGCAATCGAATTTGAAAATGTGGTGATAAATGTATCATCTATTGCATATAAGACGGTCAATAATCAAAATGAAGCAAAAAGGATTCTAGCTGAAAAAGAAACAACAAAAGAAATTATAAACAATAAAAATTTTTCAATGCAAATGGATACTTTTACAGAATTAGCCAAAGAAAAGATGTTCGTATATTGGATACTAAATGATCAGAAGAATTTTGGTTTTATGAAAGATTCCTTTAAAAGTTTGGTATTAGATAAAAATTATAATAAAAAACCTAAAAAAGCTAAAGCCATTATAATTGATCCAACAAATGTGACAGATTTATATAACAGAAAAGTATTTGGCGATGCGCTAATTAAAGTGATTTCAAGTGAAGTAAGCTATAATTTAGTTATACCGGAAGCATGTCAAGCAGCTTTATTTAAAAATTGGGATGAATACCAGCAAACACCTAAACTGATAAGTCATTATTGTCGTGATTTAGGTATTGCTCCTACTGTTTTAAATAATGATGGTGTAGTACTACAATTAGTACCACCACTGCCACCTAAAAAAGGAAAAGGAATACAAGGCTATTACGATTATATTAAAAATGGTAATATTTTTTGTTTTTAATCTTTTTCATGTTTCACAAATTATTAATTTACAGATAAATGTTGGTATATTGATATGTTTCCTACTGGAGAATCTTTGGAAAGGGATTTAGCATTTGATGAAGAAGTTCTCGGTAATTTTTTCAACATTTTTATACAACTAACTCTACAGTATTTTATTTAACTGTTTAGATTACATTAGAACGCAGTCATCATTTGCTTGTATTACTGTTGCAATTATGGCAATGGGATCAGTCTTTTCATTTTACACATTTATGAATCCAAGATATATGTTTAAAAGACTTGCTGGAGGAATCCACTTTATTTCAGCTGCAACTAGTGTGGTGGTTTTACAAGTTTTATTTGCATCTGTTGATTATACTAAAGAACATCTCTTATATACATACCCCGAAGGAGCTGAACTAACGTAAATCAATAAAATATATCACAAAAAAAAGTAAAAATATTGAACTTTTCTGTTGTATTTTTAGGTATGGGTATGGAGTTTACTTAGCTTGGTTCGTATTTTCAGCAAATTTACTGGCAGGGATATTATTTATGTGGTATTCAGGAAAGAAAAAGGGAGCTAAAGCGCCAACAGATGAAATCGCAATGGCTGACGAAGTTGTTGCTATGGGTAGATGAAATTTTTCGTTACTATTTGTTAAGAATTTTATTAATTTGTTTTTATGTTAAATATTTGGTTAAAATAAACACTTTCAATTTAAAAGTATGCTAAGATTTACTATTGAAAAATAAGAATAGGAAAAAAAAATTATACTTATCTTTGCATTTAGAAGCATTAGTAACAACAAGAATTTTATTTATAAAGTAGTTTTATACAACTCAGAAGCACTTTTTCTCTGAAGATCTCAGAATGACTTTTTCCATTTTCATGTGGAGTTTTAAAATTATGCGGACTTGTATATTTACTAAACTATATCTATGAAATTTGTTTGAATGATTCAACTAACAGTTAGACAAGAATTTAGGAAAAATATTTTTAGTTATTCTTCAAAATTTTTAATATTTTTAATATTATTTTTGGTTATATTATTTATATTAATATACATAAGTAACTTTAAGGATATATTTTTTTAAATTTGGAAATAATGCAGTATTTCAAAGTTATAATAAAATTACTAATTTTTTAAATATGTAAAATTAAAATTGATTAGCTTTATCTAATTTCAAAAGTACAACTTGAACTTGTCCTTTGTTATCGAAATTCTTTCTGTTTAGTTCTGTTATTTTATTACAAACTCTAGACATTAATTTTTTTCAACTAATATTAATTTAGTCAATAATTCTAAAATTATTAACAAATTTTACAATTTCATATATTGTTCTCTATTTACTAAATATGAACATAATGGAGAAATATAGAATTAATTAAGAAAGTTTCAAATTCATATACACAACAAAATTGATCAAAATCTAACTTTTATTCGTATTTATTAAGGATAATACATATAAAGAAATCTATTCCTTTTTTAGAGTAATCTTATGTTTCTTGTTGTTTTTAATTATAAAGCATACGAAGTCCTTAAATTGTTTTTCCAAATAATATGTTGAAAAAATCTAGAAAATGCTAGAATAAAACAAAAAAAAAATTTTCATCTTTGTACATAACATGTACGAATTTCAGAGAAAAGTCGTTAATATTTTACAATAATGATGCTCGAATCGCAAGAAGAAAAAATTAAATTATAATTTATATGTCCCAGTAGCTTTAAGAGAAACCTGATTATATTTACGTTTAAATATGTGTAACACAATACATATTATATTCTATTGTTCAAAGTATGAAATTTCATAATGATATGAAAATTAACGAAATTTTTAAAAACTAGTAATGTATAAATTCTTGTTTTTCTCTTAATTTTGTTAGTTGCTAATGAATTAACCGTCGTCAGCTGGATCATTTTACGTTTTTTGTGTTTTTCCTTTTTTTTTGTAATTTTTGCCAGGATATGGGATAAAATAAAATCTGTGTAACGGCTAGTTTTTCTAACAATAAATTAAAAAATAAAACTGACCAGCTGGATTATTCATTTAATTTATATTCTTTTATAATTATAATTTTTTTTGAATTCCTTGCTTGTATATTATTTTCTTTTGATTTTATATATATTAAATATTAAGTAAAAAATATTCTATTTCTTCCAATTTAGTATATTATAAATTTTTCTTTTTTTTTCGTTTTGTTATCATTGTTTTTATTCAATTGAAAACTGATTCGCATGACTGTTTTTATTTTTATCTATGATAATTTATTCTTTAGTTGTATAAAAAGGAGGAAAATAATATTAAATTCCGGTTTTATTAATTTTTTATTTTTTGATTTCTTATTCGATAAAAACTAAATTCCATTAAAAGAAATGAATATCTATATAGTCATGCATATACATACTCTTAAACTAAAATAAAAAGTGGTGTCTTAAAATTTTCTAAAGACTCTCTATGATGACCATCACCAAAACGTTAAATAACCGAATGACCATTTAATTGTTGAAACTTAAACATGAATATATTCTTACATATATCAGTACATATATGCATGTAAATATTATTCTTATAGATTTTTGTTTATTTTAAAAATCCTTTTCTCACGAGCTTCAAAATACCATATTTTTTCTTTGATTAAACTGTTGAATTGTTACCCATTTGCAATATTTTCTATATATTATGAAAAAAATGAAAAGATAATGTTGCATATATACCAATATATAAAATATACAATTATAAAACGCTTTTACCATTATTATTCATTTTTATGACAAATACGATATTTTAATGTTCAAAAAAAAAATTGAGATTGATAACTTGCAAAACAAGTTAAGTAACATTTTTACTGTCTAAAGAATTCATTCAGCAAAAAAAAAAGAAAAAAAATAACATAAAAATGATATCCTTACAAAGAAAAAATCTTAATGTCCATTACTTTTTCTTTTTTCCTTTTTTTTTACAAGTTACAATTTTTCACTTATTTATTTTACTGTTAATCAGATGTTCCTAAGGGTATATCTACTTATATAAGAACAGCTGAATATAAAGGATAACGTAAGGATTAAAAAACGTATATTTCACCTTTCTTAGAAAAAAATATTTTTATAATAAGAAGAAGAAAACTAAATGGACAATGGTCAATAGTAATGTCCATTTTAAAGATAGATAAAAAAATAAAATTTTATTTTATTGTTAGTTTTTTGTTTTTAAAGGACATTGTGTGTAGACGACAATAAAAGAGAAAAAACAAAAAAAAGTGAAAAGAGTATAAAAAAACAATGAAAAATAAAGTTCCTCTTTAAATAATTATGCAAATATAAAAAATAAAATAGCAGAAAGTAGAAAAGGATTCCTTCAAGGACTTTTAGAATTTTTGTGGGTATATACGTACATACATATATGAAGGGTATATAAGGTACCTAGAATCAATGGGTACTAAATAAACAACCCTATTTTCATCTATTTATTTTAAATATATTTTGAAGTATGTTGTATGGATTTCAGATTAAGTTTTTAATGTTGACAATTATAATCTAAGTTTCATAAGTGTGTAGATTTTATAAGGATATAGTTTTGGGGAGAATTAGAAATATTGGCTTATGAAACCTATTTTAACTAGAGAATATCTCCTTTGATTTTAAAATATTACTCAATTTTAAATTTTTATTAAATTCATGAAAAATTGTCATAAAAGTTGAATTTTGAAACTCGATACTAAATTTTGTTATTGTAATATGTATGTACACAGTAAAGGAATTTAATAAAAGGAATTGCATTAACCAAAATTTTCATTAGATATATTTAATTAAACTTCATGTATATTTATTTAAAAATTTTAAAAGCCAAGAAATTTAATGAAGAGAATTTTTACAATCAAAGTTTATTCATTAGATTTTTCTTTTGATCTTTTTTATGACGGAGGATCATTGCCACAAATTTCTATTGGTCAGCCCTTTGTCAGATGTTTTTCTTGAAGCCTGCAAGTCCCAAAGAATTAAAAATTTTTCCAGACAAAAGCTGTCAACTTCAGTTCTGATAAAAAGAACTGATTATCACACTTTGCGACTTTTTATTGCAAGAAAAAGGATAAACAAGCTTATATTTCGTTAAAATATGAATTAAATTTAAAGTTATATATATCGTATATATATTTATTCTGCTGCAAGATGGCGAGTTTAATTACATGTTGCAGAATATTTCATACTAATACCTTTTAGTTGACAAAAACAACTCAATCCATCTCTATCGTTTTATAATTTTTTCTTAAATTTTTATATTTGAACAGAATTGTTTTATGGAAACTGCATAAACTCAATACATTATTTTTTTTTTAAATATTACGAAAAAATGCAAAAACAAAAAACAATATTTTAACCTTTGAAAGTTGAATCTATACCCTTCTGAATTAAATTCTTTAAATCATTAGGAAAAACCTCGAAGGAAGTTTTATTTTGATTTTATAAAAAAAAAACATTACACAACTCTTTTTTATTTTATTTTTTATTTTTTTTGTTGATTCATTATCCTTTTTTCTTATGCAATTGCAAATGATACGTTCTTATTACAAGTATATGAATAACTATGTATATATGTTTATGTGTATACTATGTACGAATAACTTACAAGAAAAGGATCAATTTTTGTTATGGTCATTTTTATTACTGTTGTAATTTTTTCTCAAGGAATTTTTCTATTATATTCTTTATAATTATGAAGTATTATTTTATAAGGAGTAGTACAAGTAACTCATTAATCATAGAATTTAGAAAAATACAGTGGGTATTTGAATAGATAAATATAATTTCTATTTTTACATTGTTGTTCATTACCGAAAATATTTTTCTATTTTCTAATTTTAAATAAAAATTTTGAAAAAAGGGTTAATCAATGAAGAAGGGACATTGAGTTTCATTTTTGATGTTGAAATAAATACAAAAGTTTTTAGATTTATTGTTTAAAATACAATAGATCTATAGACTATAATATATAAAATTATAAAAAAATAATTGAATTAATGAAATAAATTGATGAAATTAATTTTTCTGATCAATTTTTTCGTTATAGGTAAATAATTAGATATTAAAAATCAATTACGTTATATGCATTATAAAGCTATAATTTGATATAGAGCTATAATGATTCATTCTATTGATCTGTTCTAATTTATAATTTCAGAAAAAGATTTCCAAAATATCTAATTCTATCTATCTAGAATTCTAAAATATCTAGAATTCTTCCAAATATCTAAAGAATATAGTTTTTCGACTTTGAGTAAAAATAACAAGCAAAACACAAAATAAATAAATTATTTCTTTTAAATATTAAAAATTTGATTTGCTCTAGAAAAGTTAAGAACTAGAATGGGGTTGAAAATTTTTCCTTAGGTAAAATATATGCAAATTTATATTTAAACAAATTTCGTTTGCATCCAATCTTTTTTAAAGAATTAGGCAAAAATTTAATTTATCCTTTAATTTACAAAAAAAAAAAAAAAGAAATTGAAATTTTAATGTATAAAGGTAAGTAAAGTCTTCTCTTAATTAAATTTAATATTTTGTGTTGTAGCCCTTAGATTTGGAACAGCCCAAGGTCTTCGTTTTATAGAAGTAATCAATTTTTCCATATGAAGTTACTCCGGAATTTTGGACCATTTTTCTGTTATATATTTTATAAGGTTACGTTTGGATTTCGGTAACCTTTTCGCCACACTCTTCTTTAAGTGGG